GTGGCCAAGATTTACGCCACCGGCAAGGAGCTCTTCGACTACATTAACATGAACCTGGACGGCTGGGACACGGCCTCGGGGGACTTCGTGCAGGTCTCCGGGCTCAGGTACGAGTTCGACCATGCCAAGCCCGCGGGCGAGCGCCTCCAGAAGCTCATGACCGAGGACAAGAAGGAGGTGGACCCAGAGCAGAAGTTCACCGTCGCCATCACAGATTACATGCTGTCCAACTCGCCTCTGCGCCACAACGCATTGTACCAGATGACGACCCTGAACGACGCGGTTCCTCTCTTCCAGGCCTTCGTGGAAGCCGTATCGAACGCCGGAGATGCTTGCTACACCGCGGAGCTTGACGGCCGCATTAAGGACGTTGCAGCCTAGAGAGGCGCTGATGAGCGCCAGGGATGCCTGCTAAGCCGCGGAATTTGCGCCTTCTGAGTGGCATTCGGTTATGGCTCAATATTTTTCAGTCTAGTCTGGCTTTCCTTCTTCGGCCCCCTCCCTCCCCTCCCTCTCTCCCCCTCCCGCGCCAGTGCTTTGCTGTCCACCCTCGCAGGCTAGTGCTCTGAATTCGGAGGCCGAGCATCGCTCGCGCGCTTGCTCACTTGAGCCCTGCAATTTTCATACTCGATTCGCCCCAATGTAGTGTTGTGTCGGGGAGGGCTTCTAGAGAAGGGGATCAGGGACCCTTCGTTTTTTTCCCCCGCCAGCTTCCTGCGCAGGCTCTCCGTCCTCCCCTGTGGGCTGTTATCGCCGCAGAAATATATAAAGGCATGTCCTTGCTCATACCTATACGACCACCCTGCAGGTGATAAGGAGGTTGGGGGGGGGAGGGGGGCCAGCAATGGGCAACAGTGGCGATTCCCACTATTGATCTCACTATCGATCCCACTATCGGTCCCACTCAATCGATCTCACTATCGATCTCTCTATCGATCTCACAAGCGATGTCGTTATCGGTCTCACGATCGATCTCACCATCGATCTCACTATCGATCTCTCTATCGATCTCACAAGCGATCTCGTTATCGGTCTCACGATCGATGGGACCACCGATCCCACTATCGATTTCACTCGATCGATCTCACTATAGATCTCACTCGATCGATTTCACTGTCGATCTCACTCTGGATCTCGCTATCGATCCCACTAACGATCTCCCTTTCGATATCACTCGATCTCACATCGATATCACTATTCATCTCACTATCGATCTCACTATCGATCTCACGATCGATCTCACTATCGGTCTCACTATCGATCTCACTATCGATCTCACAATCGATTTCATCATCTGTCTCACTATCGTTTTCGCACCAGCGGGACACCAGGACACCGGCGGGACACCGGCGGCACACCGGCGGGACACCGCGCGCCACCGCTTGCCAGAGGGAGAATCATTTGGTCCTGCCAAGGCCCAGCCACAAGCGGGACACTGACGGGACACCGGCGGGACACTGCGCGCCATCGCTTGCTTGAGGGAGAATCATTTGGTCCGGCCGCGCTTCAGCCACAGGAGACTTTCCTCTCGCCCGCCCACGCAGCTTCGCCTCGCCCGCACGCACGGCACGCACGAACACGAAACCGAAACCGATTTCCTGGGGGGGGCTCTCCGTTCCGCTTCGATCTCACCCCCCAACCTCCGATGCCGCGGTGTCACGCTCGGCCTAGCTATCGCCAGCTCGGGCTGACGCACGAGGAAGGTGGCCTTGAAGGCGGCCTTCAAGGACCAATGAGGAGCGCGGCATAAGATGCGCCAGGATGTGGACAAGACGAGGGGTTTGATGGAACGCACAATCATCATCACCATCGTCGTCGTCATCACCACCATCATTACCATCACCGCTGTCACCATAACCATCATTATCATCACCGTCATATTCACAATTGAGATCACCACCGTCATCATGATCGCCGTCGAGTGCGGTCTTGAAACATATTTTCAGTTTATTAGGGGCCATCCTGAAGGTCAGTTTCAAACCTCTTGCCCCAAATGGCCATTCACAAAGCGTCATAATTCTCTGGCCCCCCCTTCGCTTCGGTCACGCGAAACCGCCTTAACATTCTGGCCTCCCCACCCTTTGTAAAGAGGCGCCTTCATATACCGGCCCCGGGGGCCGCTCAATAGGGGATGTGGACCGGAGGGCAGAGGGCGTGCGCATTGGGTGCCGTCTGCCGAAGTACACCCGAGAAAAAAAAACAGAGCGCCCTCGAGACGACTCCCAATGCGCATTTCGCCTGATGCATCCTTCCGAAATGAGTTGATCGCAACACCGTCTTTTACATAGAGCTTGTCGTTTGAGACATCGTCAACACATGGGCAGGATAGCCGTAGACCAACACACAGAAGCACGGCAGAACGCGCGGGAACACGGCAGAACACACAGGATCACGGCAGAACACACAGGAGCACGGCAGATTACAAAGAACGCATGGGAGCACGGCAGAACACACAGGAGCACGGCAGACCACACAGGAGCATGGCAGAACACATAGGATCACGAGGAGCACGGCAGAACACGCAGAATACATAGAAGTACGGCAGAACAGACAGGAACACGGCCATACACGCAGGAGCACGGCAAAACATTCGGAACGCACAGGAACACGGCATAACCCACAGGAGCATGGCAGAACACAGGAGCACGACAGAACACGCAGGAGCATGGCAGAACCCAAAGAACACACGGGAGCACGGCGAACACACAGGAGCATGGCAGAAAACATTGGAACGCGGCAGAACACACAGCATACACAGGAGCACGGCAAAACAAGCAGAAACACGACAGAACACGCAGAATCGCGGCAGAACGCGCAGGAGCATGGAACAACCAGAGGAACACGGCAGAGCACGCAGGACCACGGCAGAACATGCAGGAGCACGGCAGAACAAGCAGGGGCACGGCAGAATTCGCAGGAGCGCGGCAGACAAAGAACACACGGGTGCACCACAGAGGAGCACACAGGATCACAGCATAACACGTAGGAGCATGGCACAGCACGGCAGAACACACATAAAACACAGGGGCACAGCAGAATACAGAGGTACACGGCAGAACACACCAAACACAGGAGCACGGCAGAACACACAGGAACACGGCAGAACACACAGGATCACGGCAGAGCACGCAGGCGTACGGCAAAACACGCGGCAAAACACGCAGGAGTACGGCAGAACACACAGGAGCACGGCAGACCACGCAGGAGCACGAGGAGCACAGCAGAACACATAATTCATAGGAGCATGGCAGAACACATAGGAGCTCGGTAGAACACACATGAGCGCGGCAGATTTCACAATCACACGTTAGGGACATCCTCAGAAAATGACCGACAACACGGCAGACCAGAAAAAACGAGCACGGCAGAAACTTTGCATTTCGGTGGGGACATCCTCAGCAAAATGAGATGTTCTCAACATCGTCTTGACGTCGTTCTTGAAATACTCCAAGATGAGCAAATGAGAGCCCGCACATGCTCCCAAGATGGCTCCGAGAGTGCCCTGAAGACTGCCGAACATGACGATTTCGCTAGGGACACCTTCAAACAAATGAAAACAGACAACAACATCGTTTTGACAACTGCTCTTCTAACATCGTCTTGAACTCGCTCTCGGAAAGGCTTCCAGACGGCCCAAGCGAGCCTTCTAAAAAGGACGATTTCGCTTGGGTCATCCTCAAAAAGAGATGTGTGCGACATTGCACTGGCATCATTTTTTCAGGCATCGAGACGGCCCCATTCGAGCCCCAAACGAGATTCCTCAACATGCGCATTTCCTTTGAGACGTTGTTCGCAATATCGTCTTTTACAGAAAAACAAACGTTTCGCCGGAGACATCCACCAGGAACTGAACGTTGCGAAGTAAACAAACTTATGATACTGGGGCTATCGCCTGAGACATCCCCGAGCATACATACATTTTGAAAAAGGTTGATTTACGACCATGCATGCTTAAACTAAGCTTTTCGCCTGAAACATCTTCAGAACATGAGCAGGACCACCGCAGACCAACACACAGAAGCACGGCAGAACACGCAGGATCACGGCGGATCACAAAGATCACACGGGAGCACGGCAGACCACACAGGAACACCGCAGAACAAGCAGGAGCGCGGCAGACAACGCAGCAGCATGGCAGAACACACAGGAACACGGCAGAACACACAGAACACATAGGAGCACGGCAGAACAAGCAGGAGCGCGGCAGAACACACAGGAGCACGGCAGTACACATAGGAGCACGGCAGAACACACAGGTGCACGGCAGAATTGACGGCAGAAGACGCAGGAACATGGCAGAACACATGGGAGCATGGCAGAACACACAGGATCACGAGGACAACGACAGAACACACAGAGTACATAGGAGCACGGCAGGACGCACAGGAGCAGGGCAGCAGGAGCACGGCAGGAGCTGCTACTGCTGGTCCTCCTGTTAGTTGCACTCCGTACAATGTATGTTTTGAGGGTTATGACTAAGCAAGGTACGTAGCATACTTATCGCACATTTGTTCCCACACGTACTCGGTTAGCGAGTGCCGGTATGCGAAGCGCGATCGAGAATAACGAAGCACGATTTGTTAACACGATTTGTCGTTTATCCCACTGAATGGGATAACTGGCTTCTTAGCACAGAGCGAACCAACGACAGAGTCAGGGCGTACGGGATCTTCTATCCCACTTAGTGGGAAAACTGGTTTCTGAGCACAGAGCGAACCCACGATAGGGTCAGAGCGTACGGGATCTTCTATCCCACTTAGTGGGATGACTGGCTTCTGAGCACAGAGCTAACCTACTCGGCACTAATACCGGACTGCATAGCACGGCTTCTGCGGAGGTGCGTTAGAAGATAATTGCGAATCGTCTGCCGGCTGGGCCGCCCCAGGCCTTTCACGTAAATGCACGGACGTGCACGCATGGAGATGCCTTCCCATAGCTGTTTGGGGTCAAATCAGCCGGCATACCCTTTATCGCTTGAGCGCATTTCGATTCAACATCGA